CAGACAGACAGAACCCTAGGACAAATGGTAAAAGAAAAGCTATACAGACAAACTCACACAAAGAAGCATGCACATACGTCTACAGTTGCTCCCAAATTCCACCGCCTCAATTTTGGGATGATTCATTGTCTATTCCGGTATTCCAGAGATGCAGGGTACAGCAAGTTGATTGTGGAGATTTAATCCTCTGCTTCTGAGACTGCTGGAGAGATTTCACTTTCTCTTCTTTGTTCGCACAGCTCCTGGGGTTCAGCTTTGGATTTGGCCCCGCCACTGTGTGTAGGTCGCCTGAGGGCGTCTGTTCCCGCTGAGACAGGAGGGGGTTAAAGGAGCAGCTGCTTCGGGGTCTCTGGCTCACTCAGGCTGGGCAGGGGGAGGGAGGAGTATGGATGCGGGGCGAGCCTGTGTTGGCAGAGGCCGGCGTGACGTTGCACCAGCCTGAGGCGCGCCGTGCGTTCTCCTGGGGAGGTTGTCCCTGGATCACGGGACCCTGGCAGTGGTGGGCTGCACAGGCTCCTGGGAGAGGAGGTGTGGATAGTGACCTGTGCTCGCACACAGGCTTCTTGGTGGCGGCAGCAGCGGCCTTAGCGTCTCATGCCCGTCTCTGGGGTCCGTGCTGATAGCCACAGCTCGCACCGTCCCTGGAGCTCGTTTAGGCTGCACTCTTAATCCCCTCTCCTCGAGCACCCCAAAACAATGGTCTCTTGCCTCTTAGGCAGCTCCAGAGTTTTTCCCGGACTCCCTCCTGGCTAGCTGTGGTGCACTAGCCCCCTTTAGGCTGTGTTCATGCCGCCAGCCCCAGTCCTCTCCCTGCGATCCGACCTCCGAAGCCCGAGCCTCTCCCAGCCCCCGCACTCCCCGGCGGGTGAGCAGACAAGCCTCGGGCTGGTGAGTGCTGGTTGGCACCAATCCTCTGTGCAGGAATCTCTCTGCTTTGCCCTCCGCACCCCTGTTGCTGCGCTCTCCTCTGCGGCTCCGAACCTTCCCCCCTCCGCCACCCGCAGTCTCTGCCCGCGAAGGGGCTTCTAGTGTGTGGAAACCTTTCCTCCTTCACAGCTCCCTCCCACTGGTGCAGGTCCCGTCCCTATTCTTTTGTCTCTGTTTTTTCTTTTTTCTTTTGCCCTAGCCAGGTACGTGGGGAGTTTCTTGCATTTCAGGAAGTCTTCTGCCAGCATTCAGTAGGTGTTCAGTAGGAGTTGTTCCACATGTAGATGTATTTCTGATGTATTTGTGGAGAGGAAGGCGATCTCCACGTCTTACTCCACCGCCATCTTGAAGGTCTCCCCAAACTAATAGCTCTTAAAAACTTGTGTCTATAGCTCCAATTCAGTGAGTATAAAGAGCTATACAAATGCCAGCCCGTAATACCAACATGTTCAAAAGATCAAAATCGTAGCCACACAGACAAGAACTCCCATTTGTTCAATGACTCTGCTACAGTGGACACATCTGCTTTAGATGGACGGTTGGATTTCCTGATATTTATGGTTCCTTTGGAATCTAAGTTTCCATGTAAGTATAGGATGGAGTCTACAATTTGAAACTCAAGATAATACATTTTTATTCTTCATTATTTGGAATATGATTGCCTACATTACTTATAGTGGCTAGGCAAACAGAACAGATATTATACTTTCCTCTTCATTGTCATTACCATTTCCAAAGGCAACTGGGTAACTTGTGTATTCGTCCACACTTAAGGAAAACAGATTGTTGGAAGAGCAGAGGGCCACGCTTAGAGGAACACTGTTTTATCTCTGCTCTGCACAAGTGCATGGCTCATGTGTAACTTTGACTCTGTCTGAGCATGTTGGCAGATACTTGTTGAGCAATATAATGCATAGGTTCTGGAATCAGAGAGTACTGAGTTTAGAAGGCCATTCTCAAAAGGTAGAATGGCATAGTGGTTAACAACACAGTCTCTGGAACCCAAATGCTTGAGTATGAATCCTGATTTCCCCACTTACTAGCTCTGGGACCTTGACTTTCTATCCTTCAATTATCCCTTCTGTAAAATGGGAATAATAATAGTGCCCTCCTCACAGATTTGCTGAGGAGGTGAAATGTGTTACTATCTGTGCTTAGTACAACTGATGGCACATTATAGGTGCTCTCTTTGTGCCATAAATGTAAATCCTCATTCAAGTGGATCTGACTCAGACAAGTTGGGATTCATGCTCTAGCCCTGCCACTCACTCATTTTATGACCTTGGGCAGCACTTAACCCCTCTCTGATCTATCTATACAGGAGATTTAAAATAAGAGCACCTGCCTCAGAGAGGTGTTGTAGGGATTGAATGTGCTATACATGCGAAATTACTTAATAGGACCCAGCATGTGGTAAGTGTTAGGAAATACTAACTATTATTGCCATCATTAAAAGTGATGTTGTCTCAGGACTTCCCTGTTGGCGCAGTGTTTAAGAATCCACCTGCCATTGCAGGGGACATGGGTTCAAGCCTGGGAAGATCCCACATGCCACAGAGCAACTAAGCCTGTGCGCCACAACTACTGAGCCTGTGCTCTAGAGCCTGCGAGCCACAACTACTGAAGCCCGCACGCCTAGAGCCCATGCTCCGCAACAAGAGAAGCCACCACAATGAGAAGCCCGCGCACCACAACGAAGACTAGCCCCTGCTCTCCACAACTAGAGAAAGCCCATGCACAGCCATGAAGACCCAACGCAGCCAAAAAAAAAAGAAAATGATGCCTCAACTCTCCCAGTTTTGTCCATTAACTCAATACACATCAATTCTAAACTTTTCCAGACATCTTGCCTTCTCTGTCTTGCTTCTTTCTAGACATCTGCAATTTCATGACTGGCCAACACCACAACTGAACTCAAAGAAAACAAAACTTTTCATGATCCCTGCTAATAAGTGCCTCTTAGGTTTCCCTCCTTGCTGGGAATGGCACCACTACCTTCCTCCAAGCTCAAATAGTGGATGGTGCTATCCCTTATTGGATTCATCACTTTCACTCACACATGCCCAATTCTATTTAACTCTGCATAGAAAGCCTCATTTACTCTCAACTCCTTCAGTGACTCCTAGTTGCAGAAATCATGGTTTCTAGGTTGACTATTAAAATGCATTCCCAATTTCTTTCTCTGAATCCATTCTCTTATGTTCTAGCCTTGTTTTTACTAAGTACATCTAAAATATTATTTCTCTCTTGAACAACCTTCATTTGCCGTGACATTAAATAGAGACAACTCAGCCTGATCTGTAAACACTTTGCACATGACAATCCTATCCAACCTTTCCAGATGTGGTTCTCCTACCGTCCTCAGCGTTTACCGTGCTCCTCAACTATCCTCTGTCCTTTGCTGGATCTAGTCTTTCTTCATAGTCTTTCTAACTACCCCTCCGCCAAAAGCAAGTCACTCAAAATTCCCCTGGCACATTTTCATACTTCTTTTATAATAATGACTGTATCCATTCAGAGTCAAGTATTTTGTCCAAACCACCACTTGCCCAATCAAGGCACAAGTTACAAGAGTAAACGTATTTAGTGCTTTTCTCCATCTTTTGTATTCTGAGTAGTGACAATCGCATGAAGTATTCCTAGATCAGTAAACTGTTACTGTTAAGTTGCTTACACAGAGATTGCATGTCTACGGCAATTGCCCTAGGCTTACAGTTACCTTGTGCCTCTGTTCTCCTGGTTAGCCTGAGTGATTGACGTGTGACTCCGTTCTTGCCAGATTTTATCACCTGTAGCTAGTTTACTCTGGTTCAGAATACTGATTTTGCAAAAGAGAGGAAGCTTAGGTTGTTATTCTATCCATATTTATTTCCCCATGAGTAACAAATAGATCAAGAGAATAGGTGCCTTAGTTTTAAGTGTGCTATTACCTACAAAAGTAAAATATATATTTCTTGTACCAGGACCTTGTAACATTTTAATTTTGTAAACATCCTTCATAGAAATTAGCAGATTTTGACTACACAATTAAATATAGTTATTACTTGATTCATCTAAGAACTGATATCTTTAAAAAAAATAAGTATTATTTTACTTAAAAATATCATTTAATCATTCCCTGACTTATAATTGTTGATAGGACATTTTAGGTCACTTAATTCAGTATTTAATTGAGTTAAGCCTGTATTTAAATATTTTAAAAACTAATCAGGTTGAAACTTTAATAATTCACCATAAAAAATGCTAGCAATTTTGTTTCTTTTTCCCATTTTGTTCTTTTACATAGTAACATCTCTTCCTGAAGGTCACATTTCTTCCCTATTAGAGAAAATTTGTATACTAACTTATTTTACCCCTTTTGTATTTGTGGACAGCTGGTATGCAAAATCTGAATAAACAATACAAAAATGACCCTCTTTCCAATCATGACAAGTGCTAAAAAATTGATATAAAAATTTAAAGATCATTTAATTATATTGTATTAGAATGATCTCCGACTTAAAATTACTCCCGCATTATTCCACTATGTACCTTTTAAGTAGACTACACAAAAGACCAAGCGATATACCTAATGCACCTGAAGAGTCATCATTTATATATTTGAGTTTTGTTCAGCTTTTAATGCCTTTTCATTGCCTTTACGATTGTCAGAAGTCAGTCAGCTAATAAAATACATGGGCAGAGATTTTCCTCTTGATCTGCCATATGTGTATGAATTTATTTACCTCAAATTCCCGAAATTCCAAAAGTGATTGTGGTTTCAGGAAGCAGTTTTAGGAGTCAGAGGAGGACAAGCATGTTTGGGAGGGTCACTGCAAGCTCTCCTTGCCCTAGCCAGACTTCGCTGGCCTGCTGACCACAGTCCTGGCACAGCATCTATTTCCTCCCCACCCTCTGCCCAAGTCAGAGAAGTTACCTTATTTATCACAAAGTTCTTATTCATAGAGACACTTCATGCTGAATTTATAGATTAAGAGACCCTCTAGCTCTTAAAAACCTTTAAATACAATATTCCCTCTTTGGGAAATCTGAGAAATAGATCATGAATTGATATGTCTTTCTTTACTCTCTAGGAGAAGCTTCTGAAGATGTACCAGCTTCAACGAAAGCTAAAGGTAAAATTGTTATCTTCAGTTCACTATGAGTTTTCTCTTAAGTCTGCAATATTTTTTCTGTCTGTTTTATTTAACTATTCTTGATCTGGTTTTCAGCTTTACCTAAGCAATGTTTAGAGGTAGACTTATTTGTAAACAAACAGTTTTTGTACGTTATTTGGAAAACATATATATATATATATATATCCATATATTGAAGCCTAACTGGACACTGATATATTTACAAGTAATTATTGGATAATTAGTTGGCCAATCTGCTTACAATAGCAATATTTCAAAATTATTGTTTCACCAAGGATTGGGGAGATGTTATTTGACAGCAGGAGGTTCACATAAATGTTCAGATATGAGATTGATGTGTTTATTAAGAAAAATTAAGATAACTTGCCTATGCTGGCAACAATAGCATAGAGGAAAGATGGAAGGAAGGAAGGAAGGAAGGGAGGGAGGGAGGGAGGGAGGGAGGGAGGCAGGAAGGAAGACAGATCTCAAACCTCAGAAAAATTTGCTACAACAAGATACATGACCTTAGGCGAGTATTTCCAGGACTAAATTTCCTCATCTGTATTGTAAGGTTTTCAACTAATTTAATTTAATGCATTTTTTTCCTGAAGGGTTTCCTGGCTTCCTAGTTTGGCTTGTTATATGATAGATATTTGCTGTTCTACTTCGAGACTTGCCTGTGGACAATAAGAGTTTGCCTAAGAGGTGTTCTTGTCATCAAAATATAAGTGTTGTGGCAGTGTCTGGAATTAATTGACAGTGTGGAAAATAGCACTTTGAGAAAAGACACAAGAGAATAGTTTTCTGATTCTTATGAAATGATTTACACTCGTCTTAAGATATTTTTGAATACTAAAATTTTTAGATTTTTTAAAAATTGAATTATTAAGAGCTATAACTTTTAATATATTTTTTAAATTTCTAGACCATAGCTTCTCAAACAATTTTATACACAAATCATTTGGAAATCTTGTTAAAATGAAATAAGTTGAGGTTGGGGACCAAGAACTGTGTTTATATCAGTTTCCCAAGTGATGCTGAAACTACTGGCACATGGATCACACTTTGAGAAGGAAGTTTTTTGAACTCATTTAGAATTTGATGAAATCTAAAACCTGCTTTAGATGAAACACACACACACACTCATATCTTAACATTTCATAGTTTTACAGGAAACTCGCAAAAGTTCATCTGTGGACACCAGTTAAGAACTTCTAACCTGGGAAAGGGGGTTCAAATGGATAGTGTCAAATTATCCTTTGTTAGATATACACATGGTGCATATCACTCAAGCAAAAGTGTCCTTGAATCACATGAGAGAAGGAAAGGATACAGAATACTAGCCTGCTGCTATTCTTTCAGGACAAGGATGATCATTAAAACTTATGTCTCTCACAAATTTAAAATTATTTTGACTAAAATGTTTGTTTCATAGCCAGATTCCATCCTTACCATATTATAACTCTGAGCATAAAAACCTCTTCTGAGAAAGGAATGGGTGTCAACTAGCCCTCCATTAACATCAGGACCAGTTTCTATCTGTAACATTTCCCATTCTTTTCTTTCATTGCCTCCTCTTCTACTCCTGGATCTCACCTACTAAATTTTGTAGTTAAAGGCTGAACAGAATCTGAATAAGAACCTAGAGTATGTTCTAAGGAGGGCAAGTAGCTCCTGTTTCTTTCATACTGTGCATTTTGGGGCATTTTTCAGTTCCCTACATATTTGTATAATAGCTGTGAATGTACAAGTTATTTACTTTCATATTTTTGTATCTACTAGAAGAAGCTGAAGATGTGTCTTCCACAAAGAAGCAAAAAAGTAAGTTTTTTTAAAAAGATTAAAACTACTGACGCATTCTGTAGATGGTATATATAAATTGAAACTTTAGACTCCCTTAAGAAGAAAAAGAAGAAGATTTTTAGCACAGACATGAAGAATAACATTACAGTAGGTCTCTTACATTTCAAAGAGAAGTTCTGCATTTTTTGCGTCAGGCAAGTGGCACATATTTGGAGGAATTACAAAGCAATGATGGAAGTGGCACTTATTGCAAACCGTTCTACACAGCTCTGACCCTGAGCACTCCAACCGAATCTGTGCTTAAATGCGTGCTACTGTCTGCTTTGTAAAAAGACAGCTGAAGTGATATGCTGAAATTTTTTATATCAAAAAGAAGAAAATGTAGAAATAGGTCTCAGCAATTCAATTGCTTAGAGACTCATTCTAAGAATGAAAGTTCTTTTGGATTGTTCTTGATATATGGCAGGCTCTTAATGTTCAATCTTTGGGATCGTTGATTTTAGAATGCAATCAGTATTCATATGCAGTTACAAAATTCAATGTCCAAGATTCTCATTATTTCAGTACTTCTAAATTAGATATTTTTCTTCAGATGGTAAAGCAATACATCTTGAATTCACATATGCATAAGAGTCATTGCTGGACAGACTAAAGGAAGCAATTTTTAAAATAGGTATAACCTAAGTTTGCTTCACATAATGCTTTTAAAGTAAAGAATAGACATTTATCTGAGGAAATGATGTCAATCATGTTCTCTGGGTTTCACAATGTTTCTTAGATGTATTTCTGAAGGAAATTACAAAAATGCCCTCTATAATAGAAAATGCCTCCTGTTCTGTATTAATACTTGAATTATTGAACAAATATTAAGTGCCTACTATGTTCTAGGCACCATTTAGATGCTGGGGCTTCTGCAACAGATAAGAGGGATACTCATTATAACCCTTCATATGATCAGGTTGTGTGGAATATAAAGAAATAAGCAGTTTTAATACGTTCAGATACGGTTGCAAAATCCATAAAGTCAATCTGGGCATGTTTCTGATTTATATAGCAATGCTTTCCCAATTGTTAACCTACTCATAACAAATTGTGGCTTTATCACATAACACTCAAAATCTCTTATTTCATAAATAAATATTAAAACATAATGAGATAGGTGGATTATATTAATGTCAGTTTCATGGTTGTGATATTATAGTATAATTTTGAAAAGATGTTAACCATTGGGGAAAACTAGGTGAAGGATACGTGGGCTCTCTCTGCATTATTTCTTACAACTGTATGCGACTCTACAATGATCTCAAAGTAAAAGGTTTAATTAAAAAGAAGTAAATAAATAAAATAATTCCATTATTTTAGTAAAAAAAAGCACCAAGGTATCAAGTACTTTAAGTTCATTTGGGGATTTACTTGTAGCAAAACAATATTTTCTATTTTCATCTTACCATGAAGCAATTCTATAGTTTGATATTCATGAGCCTTTTATATAAGATCTAAAATAGGCAGCTATGATGGTATTTTCACTAATAACTATTTGACATCAATAAAAGAAATGTCAGAACAGTGCCTACGGATCAGAAGGTTCAGCTGGAAAGTAGCCTGTTGTTGATGGACTCTGCCCCTTTTAGTACTGGTGCTGCCGTTTTCTGCCATCCTTCTGTGTAACCGTCCAACACCCAGGGGTGAGGGGGGTTGTGTTCCTGCCTCTGTCTGAGGCTAGAACAAAATAGAAAACAAGTCTGGATGAGATAGAGTGGAAAGGAGAAGGACTAAACTCAAGATTTCTCCAAACTTTTCATCACTGAAAACCCAATGATTAAAGTCAGCTGACATCATGGATGATGAAATCAGAATAATCCCTTGTTGCTTTCCTTGGCTTCTTTCTACACACACTTTGCTTTATTCTACTTCGTAAACCCTTAGGCTCACATGGATTTGGCCAGCACGCCCCTCACCCCCATATCCCACATACCACTAGCTGCAATTGTCATTCTCTTTCCTGGCCATGTGCAAGAAGTCTGTGGTTGGTTGACAGAATGCAAATGGATACGATGGACCACACTGAAGAGTCAGTAGGGGTCCATCATGGTGAGGAGGGGCTAAACTCACCATCTCTTAACAAAACTGCTACCTGGAAGCCTCGGCTCACTGGGCCCAGAGCTCATGCCGTATCCAATGCGCACACTGCCTCGCTGGGCTTTAAGTCCTTTCCTGTGTTGTTTTCTACTCTGACAACAGAGCTGCTATCTGGAGGCACTGCCCTAGAGAGTAACTGTGCCATCTCAGGAGAGTGCTTGCCTCCAGAGTAAGGGCAAGTGGAAAACCTCAAGACTTTACAAATCACAAGACTCTCTGTGGTGTTATTAACACACGCACGCGCACGCGTGCACACACACACACACACACACACACACACACACACACACGAGTTGGTTACTTTGCATATTGATAAGCTCATGTTTTGAAACCTGTTACTACATACCAGTTTTTCCAAATACTGTGCACATCTAGATTCCTATAAACTAAACACTTAGACTTTCTATGCCAGGCTTTTCTTATTATCATTTTAATAATGGCTTATTATGTGCCAGGAAGGATTTCAAGTGGTTCACATATATGAACTTATTTAATTTCCACAATATTTCTGTGAGGTTTTTTGTTGTTGTCTTGATTTTACATGTGAGGAACTTGCTGGTTGTTGCCAAGGCTATCTGGCTGGAGAACCCATGTCCATATGTATTGTATTAGACTGCCTCACAGTGTTTTACCTCTGTTCCTAATCACATTCTACTTGTTTCAATAAATCATCATCCTCTATTCTTTAGGCCCCATCAGCTTCTTCCAATGTGTCTACTTGGATGGATACAATGGCTATGGATTTCAGTTTCCTGTCACTCCTGCACACCGCCCTGGAGAGAGCTCTGGCCAACCAAGTACTCCAGAACAGAAGCAACAAGGACGATAAGACACATATACACAGCCCTTACAAGTGCTTTAAGACTTTGAAAATAGGATCTTCTGTTTGTCCAGAGTGGCACGTGCAATTGAAATCATATAGTCCAGGGAATTTCTCTGAAAATATTTTACCCTCCTGCCTGGTGTAGAAAGAAAGAGTGAGCAAAGGGATCGAATGATAAGTAGACGAGTTGGAGGGTCTGGCGCTCAAGAATCTGTCATTTGTTTGTTGCTGGGTGTGGGTACTTATATTTTTCTATTTCCACTCGCTGTAGGGTTGTTCACAAATTAGGTTACATTTTACTTAATAATGGTCTTTTAAACATAATTGACACAATGACAAAATGAAATTTCTGGCTTCAGTTAGATATTTACTTTGAAGTGAAAACACGGACTATGCTTCAAGTTTAAAGGGTGTAGGAGCTCATACAAAGGCTGCTCTTTTGCATCATGTAGGTGTCTAAACTCAATTTACCCAGTAAGCTGATGTTTAATAGTTTGTTTTAACATCTTTATTGGATTACAATTGCTTTACAATGGTGTGTTAGTTTCTGCTGTATAACAAAATGAATCAGCTATACATATATCCCCATATCCCCTCCCTCTTGAGCCTCCCTCCCACCCTCTCTATCCCACCCCTCTAGGTGGACACAAAGCACTGAGCTGATCTCCCTGTGCTATGCAACTGCTTCTCACTAGTTATCAGTTTTACTTTTGGTAGTGTATATATGTCCATGCCACTCTCTCACTTCATCCCAGCTTACCCTGCCCCCTCCCCGTGTCCTCAAGTCCATTCTCTACGTCTGCGTCTTTATTCCTGTCCTGCCCCTAGGTTCTTCAGAACCATTTTTTTTTAGATGTTTAATAGTTTGATTTGATTTCTGTCTATCTCTATTTTAGTTGTGACTATGCTCTAAAAATGAGTAACAGTTGCACCAAAGAATGCTTTAAGTTCCTTATGATGCTCTTTTAGAGCTCAAAATATCTCTGACCTTTAGACATGATAAGATGGAGTAGAAATGTTTGATGAATCTTATCTCTAAGATTTGTCTTGAATTACTATTAGGACATTCACTCCAGTGGAAATACACCATCCAGTTAGGCAAGTCTGGTGAATCATTTGTTTAAGTATAAGCAAATGAGATGTAGAATTGTCAGATTTCTGCAGACTGTGCCCTAATGAAAATGTCACCTGGGTGAAATTTTAGATCAATCACTAAATTGGGGTGACAGATACAAGAGTATTTTCATTTCACTTTAATAGGATCATTCTATGGAGTTAAACAGGTTTTATTTCTCAAAAGAGAAAAATATGAATGTCATTAGAGGTGAAGGAATACGTTTTAACCATAAGTGCTTCACGAGATGTCTTACTTATTTTTTAGGTAATTGGTTACCAGTGTCAGTGAAATGAATGACAGTCTTTAACTTATTTTGATGATGCATCATTGGGAGTAACTACTATAGTTTTGCCATCCTTTTGTCTCCCAGTGATATCAACACTTGTGTTTTTTACCACATTTTTCTATCAACTCTAAAAGTCATGCCAGGGAATTCCCTGGTGGTCCAGCGGTTACGACTCTGTACTTCCACTGCAGGGGGGAAGGGTTCCATCCCTGGTCGGGGAACTATGATCCCTCATGCTGTGTGGCGTGGCCAAAATAATTAAATAAATAAAAGTAGAAGTCATGCCACTGTGATCTTTATCATGTTTACAGTTGCAATTCAACTTACGACACATTAACTCAGGAAATAAATTGAGTTATTCTTTCTGGCTTTATAATTATCTTCAGCGAAGTCTGAAGTAGACAGAGCCGACACTAGCCAAGTCATTTATTTTCAAGGACTGCAACTAAGTGTTTTAGCTCCAAGATGTAGAACTCTGTTTTACTAGACTATCATTAGGGTAGGACATTAGTAACATGTTAATTATTAATAATGGATTTTCAGTGACTTTTGTGAAAAGTTGATCTTGGCCACAGGCTGGTGGACCTAACTTACACCACAAAAGCCAATGGTACAATGAACCAAGATTAATGACACTCCTTACGTGGGGTGCCTAGAAGTGTGTAACTTCAGTACTGACCAGATGGTACCATCTTGTAAAGCCTCTTCATGTAATAATGAAAACTTGTGGAAAGGACAGTGGATGAAGTTTATTGCTCAACTGCTGCCCTAGCTTGTCCAGTTTAATGACTAAAGGAATAGAGAGCAAATATGACAGTTTTCTCAATTTCATAGAGAAGAATGGTTTCATTCTTTTCCTTCAGTGACTATTGAGCATTTACTCTTTCTAGGGCACTGTGTTAGGCACTGGACTATATAAGAAAAATATCAGCGATAAATTCTTTTCCCAGCGCTATCCTGACACAATATGTGGCCTTGGAAAATTTGCTAAACATACTGCGCTTGTTTCCCTGTGTGTAAAATAGGGATTTCAGGACAAACAACCTTATACCTCACAGATGTACTGTGGAGACTGACAAAATATCTTAATACAGATATGACATAAAAAACATTTTCTGAAATAATACTTTTGGATGTGGCAGTACTTTTCCCTCTGAGTGCATTTCTATATTATTTTATTGTTTCTTTCACGCTCATTATGAAAACTATTTGATAAAAAAGTTAAATATGACAATTTCTTGTAATTAGAATTAGACAAATGAATTATGATGTTAACGATATTAATAATAATTGTTAAGGTTTATCTGCTTAAAGTTACAATGATAAGAGCACATGAAAAATATTAACTAAACTCATCTGTTTGTACGAGTCCATCAAATAAAGTATTTCTAGTCCTTTCATGTTTGTGCTTTACATTTTAAAAGGAAAAGATAAATGTTTGGTTAAAAGTCATTGTCTTTAGTAGTTCACCTATAATTCATGTCATATTGGTCATGAACATGTAAGTAGTTAATAACTGTTTCAGTTCTTCATTTTGTCTAATTGGTGTGAGCTACCCATCCCAACTCTTTACTCTGCCCCACACTTTACCTCTTACTAATAGATGATGAAGGTCTATAGAAAATAAATAACTACCTAAGGTTTTAAATTTACATTTAGTTTTCATAAAGCCTGATAATGGGGCAAAGCTTTTTGGAAATAATTCCCATGAAAAGTGCTGGTATATTGCTTCCTTCTGGTACATCCCTTTCAAAACTCCTCATGGAAATATTGTGGAAACTAAAACTGTATATTGAGGGACTCATATTATTTCTTTGAGTTATTTTACTGGAAAAATCAGAGGGAATAGCCAATATTATTGCTGATTGAAAACTCAGAGACCATCTAGCCCAACTGGCAGTACAGAAAACAAACCTAGTCCCTATAGAAATGCATAAATTTGCCCAGTCACCAACTGCGTCAAAGCCAGGCCTAGAATATTAGTCTGCTAGCTCCCAAATGCCTTTAACTTTGTACTCAGGGTGCTATTACAAATCTTGGCTACTTTATCCAGCATCTCAAAATTTATTTTTAAATTATAATCGGTGTTAGAAATGTAATCCTGTGTGCAAAGACTTACTTTTTTCTACGTGAGAGCCTAAAAGGACCTTAAGTTTCATTCATTTGCTTTAGAGATAAACTGAATCTCAAAGATGTTAGGTGACGTGCCAAAGGGATTGCTAACTAGTAACAGAACTAGATTGAGAACCGGAATCTTCTGTTTTCTAATCCGCTGCATATAACCCACCGGGTGTGACTCCATATAAGTCTCCACCATCATCAACTTCCTATGTAATTTACACACTCATTAAGATGTGGAAACAGCACAATTTTCCAGGAACAGGGTTTCAGACAGCACTCTTTGCCCTACTCCTTTCAGGCCAATACTGCTGCTACCCTGTACCTGTTCCCCTTCAATAATCATATATGACCATAAAACATTTAGAAATTCCTGTGGATGCTTCCCTGTGTGTATAAAAATAGTTTTATTTTTCCACACAGTTTAACTGTAAAAAAGTCAAAAGTCACTGAAAGACCCCAAATAAAAAGAAAACAACTCTCTTTAAATTAATCTCAATGCATCCAAAGATGCAGGTTAACAAAATAAGTAAGAAAAACAGATGCTAACAAAAACACATTTAGACTCTAAAGGAAAGCTCCAAATAAATGATGAATTAGTGCATATTAATAATTAGAGTCATACAAATTTCAGAAGAAGTGCACGTTAATAAAGTGGTAATAGCAAAAAAAAATATTGGTTTCTCACACAGCCATGTTCAGTTCCAGGCCATGTGCCCTCTTCAAGATCATCAATTTCTGAGTCAATTCTCCATGTTGAAATTTTAGCAAGAACTAACTGCTTGCATTAGGTCATTAGGGCATTTTACTTTTCCCCATTACATCCAAAGCTCTCTTAAATAAGTTAATAAGAGGTTGGGATCCCTCTGAGTAGGAGGGATCCCTCAGGATCTCTCTGAGTAGAGTTTCCAGGTCAGATGTGTTTTCAGAACAAGTCTGCTGTGGTAGAGAGCCCTGTGGCCTAAGGTCCTCAAACTTGAGGTCAGATTCTAATTCTAGAGTAACTCTGGTCATCCATCTCCTCTGTTCCTCAGCTCTTCATCTCGAAACGAAAACAAATGTTCCTGCCACACAAGGTCATTCATCTTTGGTGAGGAAAGTTACAGGAAAGTACCTTGGAAAGTAATATTGGTAAGACCTTTCAAACTCCTTCTGGTTTTGTTATTAAATGGTCCAGCTATGCTCTGAACTGGAGACCTAGCATTGCTAAGTGTCATGAGCTAAAACAGCAAATGAAAGCCAGACCGGCATGAGCCAAACGCAAAAATGGGAACATCACCACTGGCAAAAAAATGTTTGCTTTAAAAAAATTCACTGTTTTGTGTTCTTTTCATGGAGCTACTATAAATCAGTGGCAGCAGAATATCCTTCAAACCATTGAGTCAGAACCCACGGAGCTTGTAAGATATCTGTGAAAAGGTAGTGCTCTGAATGTAAAGCTGAGACAGAACACCAATTGACTCTTGTACCCTAGACACTGCCACAGAATCGAACATTTGTTAGAAGGTCTGAAGGTGTTTCAGCAATGTAAGTTAGTGAAGGCGGTGTCAAAATAAATACTACTGCATCTTAAAACAAGTAGCCTACGTCTTGGCTTAGAAAATAACTCTCTCTCTCCCTCTCATATTCAGAATTCAATGGCAAATCATTTGTATATTTGTATATATTTGATGCCATCATGGACAGAGTTGGGATGATCTGAAAGGAAAGTACATTCTTTAAAAAGGAGGCACTATTTTATAGAAAAGACAAGACAGCTGTGAATTCCAGCAATTTTGAGGGACAAATATAGCAAACAATTCCATTTTTTCATCTTTGGAACATCTACTCATGAAAAAATATTTTTAAAATTGGGAATACATTAATGTTGCTCAAAGTCAAAATGGTATTAAAGGTATACATCGAAAGTATCATCTCACCCCATCCTCGTTGCTTCAGTTTCCCATCCACTCCTTTACTTCCCACAGCTAATCACATTGACAGATTCTTGTGTATTCATCCTATGAAAATACAAAGGTAAACTAATACATGTTCTCATTTTGATACTTCTCTTACACAAACAGTACATAT